ATTTCACTATAATTCCATGCTAGAAGCCTAGTACTAGAACTATACTTGTGCGTGGTAGCTAAATGGTACAGGATTGAATTCATAACACAAAAGCTCATGGGTTCAAGTCCTGTTGGACAAAAGAATGCAATGGCGACAGCTAATCATAGTAGGACAATGCAACCTGCTGCGGAATCTTCTGCCTGTGGCTTTTTACCAACAGGCCTACCGTCTTCACCAGAATAGAACGCCCGGTCATTATAGCCGTATTTGGTGCAATTTTCAGTCCAGATACGGCTATAATGACCGGGCGTAAGACAGCTCAGATGCTACACCCATTAACTGTTGAAAATACAGACCCAAGTTGGAATCCAGATGAACAGAAAGAGCTTTGATTTGAATTTTGAACTATATAATATACATTTTTGGAAAGTTAACAGACAACTGTCACATTTCCTTAAAAGAAGAAGAAAAAAAAAATCACTGGGAAACAGAGCAAAGGACGTCGCCCACAAGACCCAACAGAGGCAGGCCGCTTATTGTACTCGAGTGCACTATGTACAGTGTACGCTCTCTTCCGCTTATACGTTCCTCATCTCAGAGGAAATGACAACGTAACTCATACAGCGTTGGCAATCTGCCCGCATACTTCAGCATTGATGGCATCCAAAGTACTTGAGCACTTAGACTGGGTGCGAACAAACATCCACATTCTCAGTGTGCTTGCTTCAGCATCAGTGCTAGCACCTGCTGCTTTCCCCCCTCAGACTGTAACTTGTACCAGATGCAAAAATCGACGGTATGCACCAAGTCGTTAACTCGCACAAGGACCAGAAGAGGTGCTGAAGACGCCGTAGAGTGAAGCCCCTTGTGCTACATTTCACCCCACCTCAGCAGGGAAGTTCATCCGTGACCCGCTGCACCCAGACTCTACTCAACCCAAGTGCACGTGAGCTGTAGCTCACAGCACCGCCCAGACCTCAACCAAGCACTGCATGGCCGTCTGACCGGCTCTAAGCGCTTGCCAACAAACAAGAAATCCAACATCAACTCAAGTCTTTTTCTCCATAGTGACACGTCGAACGGCTAACAATCTGGCGTGTAAACTTTGTGCCAGTCTTGTCTGAAGTGCACGCATCTTACCATAATTCTACGAAAGCGAGGCCTTACACATTCTGGTCTGCAATCTGAAGACAAAACTCTCAACTGAAGTCCAAGGAATTTTGCCCCAGTAATCCGTTTGAACGTTTACTAGGTATTGAACCTATGGCCTGCCACCAAGGAGGTGGATCACTTAAACCACCAGTACTTGGCCCAGCTATCGATGCCGAGCCTGGAATGCCCCTGCGCGCCGATTTTCGCCGAAGCGCCGGGGTACCATTTTGAAACTTTTTTGGCTGGCGCTTCCAGCCATTGTGGTCCGGTACCCCGAAGCGGCGAAGCCCTAAAGGCGCGGCGCGTTAACAGGAAAGCGCCGCGGCTGATAGCTGGGCCAAGTACTGGTGGTTTAACCAATATCATGGGTAAAGAGTACCTGACAATGATCAAACCCATGACGGGTTTGGGGTTTCCCTTGTTGGCTATGTAGATCCCCGCCGTCCAAGGGGTAAATTACTGGATGGAATGTCCAAATGGACGTGATGGACCCCGTCCAAACGCCTCTGATGGGTCCCGGCAAAATTCCGTAACCTCCCTAAAACCACCGAATCACCCTTGGCCCCCCCAAAAAAAACAAAAAAAACAATTCACCTTTTTTTTCTGAGTGGGGATCCGGGCCGCCCGGGTGACCGGCAGGGGCCGGGGGGAGGTCCCGGGCGGCCTGGCCGGGCAGGGCACCCGGTTGGGGGCCGGCCCCCCCCAGCGCAGTCACCTGTCGGGGGATTTCGGACCCCCTTTGTGTGTGTGTGTGTGTGTGTGTGTGTGTG